TACATTACTATAATTGACACGTTATTACTGCATAAACTATCTTCAAGGTTAATATCATTCATCACTGAATCGATACTCATTAAAGTCCACTCATCTTCAGGCGCTGCTTAGCGAAACCACTGCACTGAAGGTATTCTGGTGGATAGTGATGGTTGTATGCATAATATGTGGTTCTTTTACTACGACTTTGGTGATTCTCGAATACGTTGAGGGACCAACAGCCACGTCAACAACAATACGATTAGTACGAGAATTACTGCTGTATTATTTTGTTCGCGAAATATTTATCATGTTACCAGGAAAAAGCAGTTTGGTCATCACAATATTCCAGCAACATTATGTTCTCACAATAACTTAGACTTAGGCAGCGTTCAGACTTCGCGACGGCAGCGCTTCGGTCGCGCGTTCGACGCGATCGATGCGCATGCTTTCGACTGCATCGATCGCGACCGAAGCGCTGCCGTCGCGAAGTCTGAACGCTGCCTTACATGTACAGCCGATATTTCCATGCTCTTGCATTGCTTTTTCTTGAATCACTGATTTTATGGAATAATTTTTCCTCGAATTATTACCCTGCTTTAGGTGGAGAGCTTAGAGTTGCCAGCGATCACCATTTGTCCAAAAGTGCCGGACGCATTCAATGCAACTGGACTTCTTGGTGATATACGGGTTACATTTCCAGATATCGATAATGCTACTGCTCTAGATTTAGTACGGTAAGAATAACCTTGTTGGAATTTATAAGATTGTGGCAATTATTTCGAAGTCATAGGGAAGTACACTCTTCTTAGAACACTAGTTATGGACATCTATTAATTTGAAACATTTAATTTTCGCCGCTCCTTATTATGCTTCGAATGAGCCTTTTTATTTTGATAATTTTTTCATCTATTACGCACCGTTTTTCTTTGCTGGTTTTAGTTCTGCCTTTTACTGCTGATGCTCAAGAATCGTATTATCTGGATGGACCTAAAGACACATATCGCTATAGCCGTTGAAACTGTCTTGAATAGCGGGGTTGCAAAACAAACAAACGGGAGCTCGCTGGTTTCACTGTGAAGGAAAAAGCAGAAGATACAGCCGGAAACGCTCAAAATAAGGCTCCTCCTTTTTCTAGGTTAGGAGCGAACAACAGGGAGGACAGACCACGCAGCAGCAATTTTAGAACATACAAACGAGCAAGACGACAGATAACGCTGTGTGTGGAGTCACTTGGGCAGCCTTTCCTGTTAATGTCCTGGTTTACATTTTTGCGAGACTTGTACAGGGCTCTATATTGCGGCACCACCTCGCACAAATCTACGATTTACAAGTTATTGCGAAATATGCCTTCAAAATGGGGTGGGCTGCACTAGCACAGATAGGGTTCAGGGAGAATGTTTTGCTACCGGATCCCTCGGCTCAGTGATTTCTCCCTTTTTCTTTCTCATCGAGGCCTTGCTTAGAGCACATTTCGTAAGTGCTTGATCAATAGAATCGCTTGTGCATATATGATGAGCAGGTACTCCGATGCACACAGTGCACTACCTCACCAGACGCAAGTGCGTGATAAGGACGTCATGAATTCATAACTTTAGTCTAACCAGGTTCCTTCGGTCGCGCTCATTAAAGTCATGCCTACCACGCCCAGCTTACTTGTTCGATTGTGTGGTCCTTCTCACAACTCTGTTCGATCTTCCGCTCTCGCATGTAGAATTCATTCACCTTTCGTATCCTCTTATCCTTATCCCTCCACTCCTCAACTCTAAAAATGGTGTTTATCGACCGTTCCTCCGCTTCCTTTTTCACTGTAAGGCCACCAATCCCTACCTGGTACCTGTTCAGGCCAAGAATCCTTAGGCATGCAATTGTGTGCCTTCAATAACTCCTCAAAATAAGTGACTAGAATTTTCAGGTTTTTCGTTGGTGGCAATGGTTTGGAGAATATGGATGACCTATCCTACTTCAATCGAACTTACATGAGTCATTTGAATCAGCTTTATAAGATTTGGTCCGACGGTTATACAACGGAGCAGTTCTT